AACACAGTCCCTTATGAGGAAGCATCTCCAAATCACAGTCGTTCATAAGCATATCTCTACTGGGGGTGTGTTCTAAGCCCCATCCCTCTCACAGAGTTAGGCAGAGTGGTGCTTATCACTGCTTGTGATCTGCAGCCAGGAACTCCTCTCCTGGAATTAGGTGGTGCAGGGTTTAGGTACCTAAATCTGGGGTTTAAGCATCTAAGTCCCTTTGGATCTGGGCCTGGGTTTTGGCATTGACTTCCATGGCCTCTGGATTTCGAGCCCCTAATGACTATTCAATGCTAAACTGCTTTCAGGAATAAATTGATGTATCAGAGAAGTGGGAAAAAAAACAAAAAATAATCTTTATTTAAAGGAGACCAGTATGTCCTGCAGTTTTTAGAACTGACACAAAGCCAGGGGTAAATTGGGCCAACTCACAGCAACTCAGCAAGCCCAAGTACTTTTTTGTGATAGCTTAGATTCTGGAGCATTAGATGTCACCTTTCATTTGAAAATTAAGGGGTTAATTCTCCACAGCGTCCAAGCAGAGGGCTTCCTGATGTTGAGCTGCAGGGGAGCAGCTCTAATGTATGCCTGTGGAGAATCAAGCAAAGCAAAGCTCCATGTTACCATGCCTCCTTCTCACCCTCTTTGTCAGGATCCTGACAAGGGCATTCCGAACCAAGGGTCAGGGCAGGGTCACACCTGAGGCTGGGAGTAATGGAGGAGTTCTCATAGTCAGGTTCCAGACTAGGGTCATTACCAAGGGTCAGAGTCCGAGTCAGGATTCAGGTTCCAGATCAGGAGGCAAAGTCCAGATCAAGCCCTGGTCAAAACCAGGAATTCAAGAGCAGGAATGGTTGTAGCAGCTACATGAGATCCACACTATTACCTGGACGTCCCTTTGGGTTTATGTAGGGTAGGGAGCCAATCAGAAACCATGAGGCTGCTGGCTGTCAGACCTCTTGAGGTGGGACTTTCCACGGTCTGTGTCCACAGAGGGTCATTACTAATAAAGCAACAACAGGTTATGGATAGCACCATAGTGCTGTCTGCTACCTGGTAACTTTACAGGCCTGGGTTCTAGACTTGCTGCACACCTTAAACTCTCATACCAGGAGTTGGGGAACAGACGGTAGATGAACTGCCTCTACCAGTAGTAATTCCCTCATACACAGGGGGAATGCTCCATTGAGTATCTCCAGCTGCTTTAAGTGTATGTTATACTGTTTATGCAGCATAGAGTGGCCTTAGCAGACCAGAAAATCTAGCCCTCATGGTTTCAGAGAACCTGTTGACACAGAGCCTCCAGGCAGCCTGAAACGATAGTTCTGAGAAATGTGAATAACTGCCATTCATCTCTGTGAGGTGTTGATTCTGAAGCCTAATTATACATACAGTATCAACATTAATTATTTCCAGTGCTTAATTTATAATGAAAGAGGTGCTGGGGCTCAAGCAGTTTTTTTACATTCATAGCTGATGCAGCAAGGCCAGAGGTGCCAGGGCTATGAACTGCCAATCTACAGGTTCCGGGGCTCAGCCCTGGCAAGCCCAGGCACAAATTAAGCACTGATTATTTCACAGCTGATCAAGCTGATGGACAATCATAGTATGTAGATCTGCACAATCTGTTGTGAATGGCATCTCATTTTTGTACCGTGAGAGGATAGAGTTTAGTTTGTGGGTAGAGTTTGGAAGAGCACCTTTACTATTTTTGTCTTATTTGATTCCTACTCAAAACTGTTCCTAACAAAAGAAAAGGATAAGGCATTTAAAAATATTCAAGTAAACATTCAGAAACAATCCAACACCCCCAGGCAATACAAACAATGCACGTTACTGAGTGTTTTAAACCTCAGATAGGATTCCCATTTTTGCTCACCATTTTAGGAGAACCTCTTACTCTGTAAATAGCTTTTTCCAATGGTAAATAGGCATCAAGGGCATTAATCTGTTTGCCTACTGACTGAATTGAGGCTTTCCCCCAGTAATGAAAAATACAACTCCTGGTTCCTGATAAGGTGGCTTTATATGACCAGTACATCTGACTTTATATGTTGTGGAAGCAGAGAAATACGATTAAGCCAAGTCCCAAGACATCATTAAATATGCAAACCTGAGGATGAAGAAAACCCTGCCCATCCACAGTGCCATCAGTGTACAGCCATTGCAGTCTAGAACTCTGGAACAGCAGAGACGACATGACTAAATGCTTACAATAGAAAGAAGGAATTAAAGTGCAGCTGCACTCGAGTTTTAACTGGCCCTCACATCTCATGAAAAGGATGGTCTGGGTGAGTGTGTGGCCAGTCTTGGTCTTTTGGAACATACATAAATTTTTATGTTTGCAAAGAAAAGGAGGTGGAAGATGGAAGCAGATTTGCCTGCTCAGGTAGCCTCTTACCTCATTGCAGGGCATGGAGTTGCAGTGGCTGCCCATAGAGCAGTGGTGGGCAACCTGTGGCCCGCAGGCCACATGCAGCCCGTCAGGGTAGTCCGCTGGTAGGCTGCCAGACTGTTTACATTTGCACAGCCGCCTGCAGCTCCCAGTGGCTGTGGCTCACCGTTCCTGGCCAATGGGAGCTGCGAGAAGCGGTGCAGGCCGCAGGGACACGCTGGCCGCCACTTCCCACAGCTCCCATTGGCCGGGAACGGCAAACCCCGGCCACTGGGAGCTGCGGCTGGCCGTGCAAATGTAAACAAACTGTCTGGTGGCCCATCAGCGGACTACCCTGACGGGCTGCGTGAGGCCCGCGGGCCGCAGGTTGCCCACTGCTGCCATAGAGGCTTCAGCAGATGATTTGGGAGATGGGAAGAAAGATGCACCTGTTAACCCCTCCCCTTCCCAATTCCAGGATATTGTAGTGCAGTATTGGCAAAGTCTGAGGAGAAATGCCCTCCCTCAGGGGAAGAACATCAAGGGAACTAGGAAAGAGGAGCTGGTGGCCTTCACTCAAGGGATCTGGATAGCCTGGGGTAATGGAGGTCGGGTGGGGAGACCTTCTCCCAGGTATAGTATACACCATGAGGAAAGTAGACGTAACATACTGTACAACTGAAAAGGAACAAAAGTCTTCAGCCTTACCTGGAAGGACATACTCTGCCATATGTTATATCCATCAGCAGCGTCCTTCTTCCCGTGCCCCCCCGCCAGGAGCTGGACCTGCTGCTGGCTGCTTCTGGGGCGCAGTGCGGTGTCAGAACAGGTAGGGACTAACCTGCCTTAGCCAGGCAGCACTGCCGACAGGACTTTTAACGGCCCGGTCGGTGGTGCTGACCAGAGCTGCCGTGACCCAGTACTGGGTCGTGACCCGCAGTTTGAAAACCACTGGTCTACAAGATACTGTCCAGTTTTAATGTGCAATGAGTAGTCTGTTTCTAGTGCTAGCAGTGATTGCTGATGTGTTGCTATGAAAAGTGCCTCTATATAACATTAATCTTGAGGGTATAAAGATTTCTTGAGGGATGACCAGAGTCATGAGATAATTGTCTCAAAATCAGATAACACACAATAACGCTCTTAAAAATTACCTGTAAGGGAGGGTGGGAAAATGGTGTTTTACACTCATGTTTTTATTGATTTTTTTTTGGTTTATTTATGGTGTACCATCAATGGCCTGAAAAATTAGTACACCTTTTTTTCTTCTTCTTGGAAAAGTCAGGAATATAAAGTCTCAAGTTCCTTGTTTTTGCTAGCTGTCTCCTTGAAGAATGAAAGAAGTGAAATGCGATCTTTCTCAGTCCTGAATCTAAGACAGGGGTTCACACAACAAATTTTTTGGTGGCCTCAGAGTGTGGCCACCAACTCTTGCTGGTGGCCGCACTGACACTTTTTCCTAAAATACTTTATTAGCGTTGGGAAAAACAAATAAATATGCATGTATACACATCCAGATCATTGTAATTTATTTATGTAGGGTTTTTTTTGCGGACTCAATAATAAAAATAATGCTGTGAAAAGTGATATTTGTATGTTTGTTAATATCACTTTTCACAGCAAATCTGGCAAGTTACAACCTGGATGGAGGGGTCGAGGGTAAGGCAGCGGGGGCCAGGGAGGATGGATGGAGGGGTGAAGGGTGAGACAGCAAAGGCTGGAGATGTGGGTCGGCACCTGGGGCCGGGAGTTGGTGCCCTGGGCCAGCACCCACTGGATCCCAGGGTCAGCATCCACAGTTGCATGGCTGGGGCCGGGGATCACCACCCACTACCAGGCAGCCAGGGGTTGGAACCCAGAGCCAGCTGCTGTGCGACCGGGGCCAGGGGTTGGCACCCAGAGTCGGCACTTGGGGTATATGCCCACTGCTGCACAGCTGGGGCTAGGAGTCAATGTCCTGGGCCAGCACCCGCCAGAGCCTGCTGCTGCGCAACCGAGACTGGAGGTCGGCGTCCAGGGCCAGCACCTGCCAGAGCCTGGGGTTGGTGCCCGTTGCTGTGTGACCAGGGCTGGGAATCTGCATCCGGGGCTGGGGATCGGCGCCTATGGCCAGCACCTGCCGGAACCCAGCGTCGATATCCAGGAGCAGTGCCCGGGGTCAGCGGCCAGGGCTGGGGGTCGGAGCACGCAGCGGGGGGTTGGCTGATGCCGGGGTTTGGGACTGGTGCTTGGGGGCTGTGCCTGCTGCTGCACAGCCAGGGCTAAGGGTTGGCATCCAGAGCCACCACCCACCAGAGCCCAAGGCCGGCACCAGAGATCTGCACCCAGGGCGGGCCGTCAGCCGCTGGAGCTCAGGGTCAGCGCCTGGGACCAGCACCTGGGGTCAGTGACTAGGGCTGGGAGTCAGAGCGCACGGACAGGGGTCAGTGCCTGGGGCCAGCCACCGCTGGCGGGATTGGGGGTCGGCTCCACGCAGCCAGAGCCAGGGATTGGAGCCCGCTGCCACGCGGCCTGGGGCTGGAGTCTGCAGCCCCATGGCTGGAGGCCTAGTCTGCTCTGTGCAGATGCAGGTAGGTAGTACTGATGCTGATGTCACATTTTCAAGGTTTCCAGGTTTACTCTGCAACCATAAGGATTAGAGACTTGAGGTGTAATCCTGGCCCCATTGAAATCAGTGGCAAAACTCTCATTGGCTTCAATGAGACTAGGATTTCATGCTTACTTTTTAAAATAACTGCTCAGTTTCTGGAGAACAAGGTGGTAGCTTTTTAAAAAAAAAAAGGCAAAGTCATCTGAAACAATGTGACCCAGCCCAATTTGACCCCTGAATCCACAGAACAGTTAATATCACCCCAAGCCTGCCCCATGCATGGAACTCTTGAGTCTGTAACTAGAGCTGTGACACTCCTTTATGGTTGGGGCAGATCTAGAGGCATGATCTTGTCCCAGGATTTATAAATGCATATTTATTACAAGGAATCAGGGTGTGTTAAACATTTATTTAGAATGAATACAGAATAATAGTAAGTGTGCTCTATGTTTTTTTTCTTTTTCCCCAGGATAGTTTGTTAGTTGAAATGGAGGAGTTAAAAGCCCAGCTGCAAAGAATTCAGAATAATGAGGAAAAACAAGCCCAGATGACCAAAATGAAGCAAAGCAAGTTGGTTCTTGAAATGGAAGAGTTAAAGTCCCAACTTGAAAAAACAAAGGAGCGGGAAAGGCAAAAAGTATCAGTTTTAGAAAATGAGAAGGTGCTTATGAAAGGAAGTGTGTTTGCACTGAATTTGTAAAGGCTGCACTGCATGTTAACACACTGGAGTTTACTTGTCAGTGTCTTTGATAATAGTCAGAGTGTGGCAATATTGGATCGGTAAACAAAAAGCGGCTTGTTGCTTCTTTTTTAGTGGAATACATAAGCAAGGGGTAGGGTTGCCAGGTGTCCGGTTTTTGACCGGAACACCGGGTCGAAAAGGGACTCTGGCGGCTCCATCAGCACCGCTGAATGGGCCGTTAAAAGTCCAGTCAGCGGTGCTGCAGGTCTAAGGCAGACTAGTTCCTACCTGTCCTGGCACCGTGCTGCGCCCCAGAAGTGGCCAGCAGGTCTGGCTCCTAGGCAGGGTGGCCACGGGGCTCTGTGTGCTGGCTGTTTCCAGGCGCAGCGTGGTACCAGAACAGGCAGGGACCTTGCCTTAGCCCTGCTGCGCCGCTGACCAGGAGCTGCCCGAGGTAAGCCCGTGCCCCAACCCCGAGCCCCCTCCCCAAACCCGGAGCCTCCTCCTGCACCACAAACGCCTGATCCCCAGCTCCATCCCAGAGCCCGCACCCCCAGCCCAGAGCTCTCACCCCTCCCACATCTCAACCCCCTGCCTCAACCCACAGCCCCCTCCCACATTCTGAATCCCTCGGCCCCACCCCCCAGCCTGGAGCACCCTCCTGCACCCTAAACCTCCCAGCCCCACCCCAGAGCCCACACCCCCAGCTGGAACCCTCACCCCCTCCCATACCCCAACTCCCTGCCCCAGCCTGGAGCCCCCTCCCACACCCTGAACCCCTCATTTCTGGCCCCACCCCAGAGCCCACACCCCCATTTAGAGTCCTCCCTCCCTCCCTCCCACACCCCCTGCCCCAGCCCAGTGAAAGTGAGTGAGGGTGGGGGAGAGCGAGCCACCGAGGGAGGGGGAATGTAGTGAGCAGGGGGTGGGGCTTCAGGGAAGAGGCGGGGCCAGGGTGTTCGGTTTTGTGCGATGAGAAAGTTGGCAACCCTAGTAAGGGGCCAATCTTGCGTCACTGAAATCTGTTTGTTCTTCCACTGACTTCTGTGATTCGGGATCAGGCCCAAACAGGGAGCTAGCTTGCGATATTGCACAGTAGCTTTCAGGAAGATGGCTATTTACTATTTTTTCAGCTAAGACCAGCTTTGAGGGTTCCTGTTATGGCAGAAGAATGTAGTCAGGGTACAGTCTTTCTTATTCACTATATAGTTAACACGATCACTGGGTTGTTTTCAGTAACTGAGGTTGCATTTGCTCTAAAACTCTGACATGATATACACAAATTAGTGCCTTGCTACTGAGCACCATCCAAAATAGTTACAGATTGTAACCAAAGTGAAGTATAAACTCCCAGTGTAAACATTTGAAGAGGCAGTTAAGTTATTGATACATATTAACACCTTTATTAATTATTATTATTATCATCAGCAGCACAGTGCCTAGGAGTCCTTGTCATGGACCAGGACCCCCATGTGCTAGGAGCTGTACAAACACAGAAGAAAAAGATGGTCGTTGCCCCAAAAGCTCGCAATCGAAATATAAGACAAGATACAACAGATGAATACAGATAGATGGGGGAGGGCAAGTAAACAATGAGACAGTACTGGCCAGCATGAGAGGCAATAGTCTCAGCACACCAGCAGCCTAACCCCTGTAAAGTTTTTTGTAGGTATCATGGCAAAGAGAGTTTTAAGGAAGATTTTGAAAGAGTATAATGTATTAGTTCTGTGGATGTTTATGGGGAGCTCCTCCCAAGCGTGAGGAGCAGCATGGGAGAAAGCACAAAGGAGTCTGAAAATTTAACAAGGGAGTGATGAAAGGTCAATCATGGGCTAGTTAGAGGCAGGAGTCAACATTTCAGTACTGAATGGGAGATGACAGGGTAGGGTGGGGATTGGCTGTGAAGGGCCTTGAAAATGAAGACAGCTAGCTTACGTTTGATTCTATAGAGAAGAGGGAGCCAATGAAAGGATGCAAAGGGATGACATGGTAAAGCAATGCACTAGGAAATTGATCTTTGCAGCAGCATTCTGAATGGACATGAGTGGGGCAAGATTATCAGAGAAAAGGATGTTGCAGTAATTAAGATGCAACGTGATGAGACGCTGGGTGGATGGACAGGAAAAATCATATTTTAGAGATGTTATCCAGAAAGAATCTGCAAGACTAAGACATAGCCTGAATGTGAGGTGCTAGAGAGAGGTCTGTGACAAAGATGACACCCAGGTTACAGGCCCGATGGTATTGTCCACAGTAATCAAGAAAGGAGGTAGCAGGGAGAGTTTTGGAAGGGGCGATTAAGAGCTCTGTTTTAGCCATGTTGAGCTTGAGCTGATATTTAGACATCCACAAGGAGACATCAGACAGATAGGCAGAGATTTTAGTTTGGACACAAGGAGATGGGTCTGGGGTAGAGAGGTAGATCTGTGAGTAGTCAGCATGGAGTGGTAGTTGAACTTGTGTTTGCAAATGAGATTACCCAGAGATAAGGTGTATAGCAGTGATACTCAGGTCTCAGTGGTTCAGGAGCCAAATTAGCGATCAACATTACCCAAAAGAGCCACAGTTGTATGAATTCGTTGTTTTGTTTACTATAGTACTATATATTCAATAGCTCATGCAAGGAAACGTGATCATAGTAAAAGCATCCTGATTGGTTAATAATTTAGTGTAAGTTAATAATTTAATTGGTTAGTAACATAGTAAAAGCATCCTGCTTGGTTAATAACTTAGATTGGTTAATAGTTAAATCACACAGTGCTTTAATATCATGTGCTGCAAAGAGCCGCGGGAGACACATTAAAGAGCCATTTGCAGCTCGCAATCCTCAGTCTGAGGACCACTCATGTAGACAGGGAAGAGAATGTGGCAAAGAACAGAGCCTTTGGAACCACCACTGCGGGGCGGATGAGGATATTCAGAAGGACTAGTTGAAGGAGCAGTTAGAGAGGTAAGAAGAGGCCTAGGAGAGGACAAAGTCATGAAAGCCAAGGGAGGACAAGATTTCAAGAGCATGGTCGATTGAGTTGAAGGCAGCTGACAGGTCAAGGCAGATGAGATGGTGTTCTGGTTCTGAGATATGACTAAGAGGAGGTCATTAGGGACATAGGCAAGAGCGGTTTCAGTGGAACACAGGGCTGGAAGCCAGATAGGAGAATGTCCAGGACAGAATTGGAGGAGAGGAACTCCAGACAGTGATTGTAAATAGCATGTTCAGGGAGCTTAGAGGTGTAAGGGAGATGGGGCAGTAGCTGGAGAGGCAAGTGGGATGTATTGGGGTTTTTTTAGGATGGGAGAGACTAAAGTATGTTTGTTTTTTGAGAGGAGGGAGCCAGAGAAGAGCGAGAGTTTAAGGAGAAAAGTAAGGGAGGGGATGAGAGTGGGCACAGGGGAGATCAGGAGATGGGATGGGGTCACTGGGGCAAGTGGAGTTGTGAGAGCAGAAGAGAAATTTCTGTGTATCTGACCTTCACAATTCCCCCTGACTCTAAGGCTTGGTCTACACTAAACCCCCAAATCGAACTAAGGTACGCAACTTCAGCTACGTGAATAACGTAGCTGAAGTTCGAAGTACCTTAGTTCGAACTTACCTCGGTCCACACGCGGCAGGCAGGCTCCCCCGTCGACTCCGTGGTACTCCTCTCGTCTAGCTGGAGTACCGCAGTCGACGGCGAGCACTTCCTGGTTCGACTTATCGCGTCCAGACAAGACGCGATAAGTCGAACCCAGAACTTCGATTGCCAGCCGCCGAACTAGCGGCTGGGTGTAGACATACCCTTAGAGATCCCAGATCAGAACACCACTCCCTGTGATCAAGGTGAGTTGACTGTTAATCCCACTGGACCTGTCAAAGCCATTTGTTATATTAGGCTCACATCCTGAGAATTGCTGATCACTTGCAACTCCCCTGGAAGTTAACAGTAAGGCTTTAATTGAGTTCTGTGGGAGTATGCTCAAGGAGTACAATCAAGCTCTCAGTGAGTTGCTGCACTCGAGCTGATCATCCATCTGCAGCACTCCCTGCTTTTGTCAACCTGGGAACGAAGAAAGACATCTAGTAGGCCTGAACTACGTTGGGCCCATACATTTGTTAAGCATTTTAATATTTTTTCTACACTTAATTTGTAACATGAGAAACATTATAAAATGTTGTTGGAAGACTGAATGAAGTGACCTTCAATTTGTGAGGGCTCAGTTTATTTGTACTAATGTACTTAAATGCTAAGGATCTCAGCAGAATTCTTCTGTAGTTAGGTGGCTCGGAATCTATATTTAGTGAGCCAAACTGCAGTTATTCTTGTGAAATCAGTGGAGTTACGCCAGACTTACAATGGAAAAAAAGCACAATTGGCCCTGGTATGTTTACATGAGATTTTCCTGACCTCTAATGCACATTGAGGTGTGGCCAAAGTGAACCATTGTTGCAGTAATGAAAAAATGTCTGGATAAAAATCACTTATTTCCTTTGGGAAGAAAAAAAGGAAGATCTATTCTTAATTCTTACTGTATTTTCCTTATTTTACTCTTTCTATTCCATTCTGCTGGAGTTTAGCATTTTGTGTATATTGCCAGTTTCATTTAGAATGTTCTCTGTGAGATCACAAAATAATGGGGACTTTCTGCAGCACAATACAAAGGATAAAATCCACACGAGTAATCTGAAAGGAAGTTCTAAAGAAAATGACTATGCCATTGTTCCAATCATGCAGAGTGATTGTTTCCTTGCATACAAATTCTGACATGTAGACTATACAGTTGAAAGGAATAAATGTAGAAAATCACCTCTCTCGCTGAAAATTTTGTACCTGTTATAGTTACCAGAAACCCCTCTGATGATTATAGTTAAAAGAAGTCAGTGAAAGTATATTTTTCTCTGTTTTGTCTTTTTATTTCCTGTACCTGACATCACTTTGTGTATAGTCTGTTACCCTGTATAGTCAGTTAGGCCCCTGTCAGACTCACATGGACAGACCCTTGTG